TCTTGAGTCTTAAAAAGAAATGGCTAATGAGATAGTCGATGTGTTGGTTTCTACAAAACTCTCCGGATTCAGGAAATTCACCATTAGATTGGAAAGTAGTAAATTATATCCTTTATTCAAAAAGGAAACAAAGTACGAAGCTTAAGGCCAGTTACCTTAAAATCTATCATTGGGAAGTTATTAGAAGCTACTATTAAAAACATTTAGGGGGAATGTAGAACATTTGAAGGTAATATGGTAGAATCAACATGGTTTTGTGAAAGGGAAATTGTGTTTAAGCAATTTACTGGAGTTCTTTGAAGAAGAAAGACATGCTTTGATAAAGGAGAACCAGTGGTGTGCTTAGATTTCCAGAAAGCATTACATATCATAGGTTATCGTGGAAAATAACAGCTCATGGTCATGAGGCAGATGTTTTAAATCTTCTTGCTTCGAAATACTGCCACATTCTGTGACACACATCTGCAACAGGTGGGATTTGAACTCGGGCCTTATGACCCAGAGGTTAGGACACTGCCACTACAACACAAAAGCTCTGAACAAACACTGAAATGGAATCTGTATTTTGTCAAAACTCAGATTGAACCAGGGACCTTTAGATCTTCAATTGAACACTGTTCAACTAAGCTATTGCAGCAGATCATGATGCAGGGGTCTGCAGGGAAGATTGGCCAGCTAGCAGAAAACAATGGGCATAAAATGAGTCATTTTATGTTTGGCAAGGTGTGATGAATGATCTGCCACAGGGATCAGAACAGATCAAAGATATCATTCTAAATTTGCTGATTACAAAGATATGTAAGAAAATAGGTTGTGAAGAGGTCAAAGAGGTTACAAAGGGATAAAGATAGCTGGACATGGGACTTACAAATGGAGTACAATGTGCTAAGTACAAAATTGCTTGTTTTGGCAAGAAAAACAAGATCTAAACGGAGAGAGATTGCAGCGTTTGGAAATGCAGATGAAGCAGAGTGCTTATGTGCATTCTACTTATCAATGGTTTGTAAAGTGATCAGTTATAGATAAATTATTTATTCCTCTGTAGCGAAGAAAGGACCAAATCCTGAAGGGTGAAAGAGGTAGAAGTCTTTCATTCATCAAATGCCAGCTTCTCACTCAGTCCAAGTCACAGTCTGCTACCAGTTGCATTCCAAACCCTGTTTTTATTCTAACAGAGACTCAAAAACAGAAGTCACATGACATCAGGTTATAATCCAATGGGCTTATTTGAAATCACACAAGCTTTCGGAGTGCAGCCCTCTCGTCAGGTGCAGTGAGAGAGCAGATAACACAGACCAAAAGTTTACAGGCAGAGATCAAAAGATCATACAACAGGTGTGAGTGGAGTGTCAGATGATAAGTCACTGCAGGTGACCAAGAACGTTAGACTGTGAGTAAAGTGTCAACAGCTGAACAAACAGCAAACGGTTGACCTATAATCTGATTAAGTGAGGCAGAGAGATAATTACAAAAAATTATAAATAAGATGATGCTGAAGACAAACTAAATGACTGGAATGACATGCTGAACCCTGCCATGGCCACCTCTGCAGGACATGTCAGATCGTCAACATGGATACTACCATCACACATGGGAACATCACCCACCACGTGCACGGCAGATACTCATGCGACTCGGCCAATGTTGCTTATCTCATACACTGCAGGCAAGGATGCCCCAAGGTATGGTATATTAGCGAAGCAATGCAGACAAATGAATGGACACTGCGCAACAATCTCCAGTACTGTTCCGTCCCAGTTGGGGAATACTTCAGTGGTCAAGAACATTCAGCCTCCAATCTTCAGGTGGGCTTCAAGATACACAACAACGGAGAATTGCTGAGCAGAGACTGATAGCCAAGTTCCATTCCCATGATGACAACACCGTGATCTTGGGTTCATGTCGCGCCACAGGTGACCAATTGATACTGTCCTGCATCTGTAAAATCTTCCTTACTGTCCTGTTTTGACAGCATCACCTTGATAAATTGTTATGATCTCTCTACCTTAATTAATTCATACAGTTTTGAAATCGGCATGCGATTCCAGTCATTTAGTTTGCCTCCAGCACCCCCTTATTTTTAATTTTTTGAAATTATCTCTCTGCTTTACTTAATCGGATTTTAGGTCATCCCGTTTCTCTTATTCAGCTGTTGACATTTTACTCACCTTCTAATACTCTTGGTCACCTGCAGAGACTTATCTGACACTCCATTCACAACAGTTGTACAATCTTTTGACCTCTCTGCCTATAAACTCTGGGTCCGTGTGCACCTGACGAAGGGGCTGCACTCCAAAAGCTTTTGTGATTTCAGATAAACCTGTGGATTATAACCTGGTGTCGTGTGGCTTCTGACTCTGTCCACCCCAGTGTAACACTGGCATCTCAACATCAAGGAGACTCAGAGTCAGCTCCAGTGCAGCTTAAGAAACTAGATTAAAATAGCAAACCAATTAATTAATAACAATTAAATATTTATCAGCCTTGTATGACAACATTTAATGACTAAATATACATAGTTTATTCCCAATTGAATCTTCATGTCTTTACTTCAGCTGAAGATACCAGTTTCAGACCAAATTTTTCACACTCAATCTGAACATGAAATTCTATCATGATACGATCACTCTTCCTTCAAAGATGCTTTACTATGTGATAATTAACTAATCCTGTCTCATTATACATTACCAGATATGAAATAGCTGGCTCCTTGGTTTGTTCAAAATGTTACAGTTTTAAGAAAACTGTCTCAAATTCACAAATCTATCTTTATCATCTTGCTACCTCATTCCTTTGTAGACTCATCTTCCTCACACCAAAACTTTCTACTTAACTTTGCAAGATTATCAAGCTTCAACATATTACACCCTTCATCTAATTCATTATTAAAAAATAGCTGAGGCCCAGCACTAATCTTTAAGGCACCCCACTTGCCAACCTATAAATGACCCATTTATTTCATGCTTTCTGTTCTTCAAACAATCCTATAGCCATGGCCCAACCCATGAGCCTTTGTGTTATGCAATAACCAACCATGTAGCACGTTGCTGCATGCTTTTATCAACCTAGTTAGTTATATCCATAATGAACTCTAATAGATTGCCAATCAGGATTTCTCCTTTGTCAAATAATGATAACTGTACCTAATCATATTGTGGTTTAAATCTCCCGTTATCATTTGTTCAGTAATGGTCTCAGTTGCAGAAAACTCCCTTAAAAATTCCCTTAAAAAATCTTTTTATTAACATAACATTTCTTTTTACTCTCCAACTTGAATCACTGACTGCACCTCAATGCTATAAACACCCAGTTTTCTCATCAACCCAGAACATAGAACAGTACAACACCGTACAGGCCCTTCAGCCCACGATGTTGTGCCGACCTATTATCCTACTAAGATCAATCTACCCTGCATACCCTAAATTTTACTATCCTCCACGTGCCTATCCAAGAGTCGATTAAAAGTCTCTAAAGTATCTGACTCCACTACCATTGCTGGCAGCACTTTCCACATGTCCACCACTCTCTGTGTAAAGAACCTACCTCTGACGTCTCCCCTACACCTTCCACCAATCACCTTAAAATTATGCTCCCTTGTAACAGTCATTTCAACCCTGGGAAAAAGTCTCTGACTATTCACTCTATCTCTGCCTCTCATCATCTTGTACACCTCCATCAAGTTACCTCTCGTCCTTCTTCGCTTCAATGAAAAAAGCCCTAGCTCCCTCAACCTTTCCTCATAAGATCTGCCCTCCAGTCCAGGCAGCATCCTGGTAAATCTCCTCTGCACCCTCTCTAAAGCTTCCACATCTTTCCCATAACGACGTGACCAGAATCAGGCTTCCTTCTCTTTTGTACAGACAGCAAGAACTTCATACCTATCGCATAAAAGCACCTGGGGTTCCCTAGGGCAAAAATGAAGGTGATGATGCATTTGAGCAAATTACCAACTGCAGAGTTGATGTGGCCACTGGAGGAACAAAGGTTAGACAATTAGAAATTTGAAATGCAATTCTAAATTCATTGGTGATACAGTTTTTTGTGCAAATGGCTAACAAAAGTGATGAGGTTTGGGCATAGAACTGGAACATGGTGGTAAGTCATACAAGAAAGTGATCAGAGATGATCTTATCCGCAATTGAGAAGTGAAACTAAGCACACCACTTGAGTTGGTCCATACAAACAAGAGAGGTTGTGAAGTCAATAGTTTACACAGAGGGAAATATTTCAGGAGAATAAGCAGGCAGTCAATTCAAAGGAGAAAGAACATGATGGATTGAGGTGGAGAATGAAATTACTGAAGATAGGCAAACTAATGGTATAAATAGAGACAGATGATTTTTATCTAATAGTCATTAGTAGAGATGTTATATCATGACCAAGATCAGGAGGTAAATAACAATGTTTGAAAAAGACAATTTATAAATATTCAGTTTATCTTCTCCATTTTTGGACACAGACATTACACTGCATACCATCCCTTAGTACAATTTGCATATCAGCACAGTTGAGGACACGTGGATTTCAATACAAGTCAGAAAACCAACTAGCCAATCAAAAAGGCAAATTCTAGCCAGTCTAAAATTTAAATACAAATTGAATTTGTATGTTCTATGTTCCTAATTAATTGCGTGTCAAGCCACTTCTAACAAAATTTAGGCGTCATAACCATGGTATCTACAAAAAGTAATACTAGAGAATCCGAAGATAAATACTAATTTGTCAAATACATCAGTTGTGGAAGCTGGTCTTAAACACCAAGTTAGTGATTCTGTATCATCTACAGATGAATGTCTATCTCTTGCCTAATACAGTTAACTTAAAAAAATCTATAAAATATATTTGTTCTTAAATGTCAAGCTATTCAGAGACTTGAAGGAATTATTAATATTTAATATTTTAAGTTAAATTTGCAATTTGGAGAAATTCACCATTATCATTGCAAAATTATTAAATGGCAAGATGTATATGTACATTTCTAGATCTTTCTGAACACTTACTTCCCTGTCCTGCCTCATCATCTTCATTGGGGAAAAGGTCATCCAATGGTTCTTTGGATGAATCAGTATCCTTGTCCTCCTGTATGATTTATAAAAAAGATACACATTATCTATAGGGACACTACCTAAATTTCCCGAAGTAAATCAACATGATTAATGCAGATCCATGCAGTTAAAAGTTAAGACCTACTGGGTCCGAGTACTCATGTATTCAATGTTTTTCAGCAGCCGAATTAAATTATCTTCAATCAGTTAATAGAATGTAAAATAAAATTGAAGTTACTGAATGAATGTAATTTCAGGTATTTTATCAGTATTAAAGCAATTCAAGAGATGGCTTTCCCCCAATTAAACAGCTTACAATGTTAATAGTTAAGAAAAGGATTAGGACAATTCTAATAATCTCTTCCAACAGAAGTCATATCAAATTGAAGATATTAACTCTGTTTCTCTATTCATATATGCTACCAGTCCTGCTGAATTTCTCTAGCTATTATTTCTAATGACCTTTTTACGCTGGTAATAGTGACATTTGTAAAATCTTTAAACTCTGATAGCCCATTGATGTTTTAACAGATCAATATTAATCAATCAGTAGGGAAAATGAAAGTTGGCAATAGCATAATGGATAACATAACATTCGCTACACTTATTTATCCCATTAAATTGCTAATTGTTGGAGGTAAGAGAAGTGAAAAAGTTTAGCCAAAAGAGGTAATTATGTGTAAGCAACACCCAATCAGGTGAAACCTGCCATTCACTCACCAGTGGTGAAGAATCTGGATCATATTTTTTGAGTTGATTCATAAATTCTAAATGTTTCTTTTCCTCTTCCAATTGAGCTACACTCTGCTCACTCTTTTGCAATTTTTGTTGAGTGTTCGCCAGCTCATCCCGTAGCCACTGGTTCTCCTGACATAACCGACGCACCTGAGCACGTAATTTCTGTTTTTCTGATTCCACTGCACTTAAGTGACTGGACAATGCCATCATCACCTTAAAACAAAAGTCATAATAAATACATTTTGCAACTTTGTAGATAATGGTTTTAAGTGACAAACTACACTACTCTAACTACTTTCCAAAAATCTATAAAATAGCATTTTAAATAAAAAAGAGAGAATAAATTTGTTAGTAACTATAATGCACACCTCACAGAAAAAAAAAGCTGTTGAAGCTTCGTGTTTTGGGCCATCAAGATATTTGCAAAAATACCAAAACGGAAAGGAGAAGAACATGTTATAATGTAAGTAAAGAGTGTGTTTTGGTTAGCAAATGGACTCTGACTCGTGGAGGTATTGTCATGGAGAAAACACAAGCTGGATGACAACTGACAGTTAACTGCCAAGCTATAATATACTGTTCCTCCTTTCTTGCAAATAACTGATGAGTGCAAGACGACTTCAACAAAATGTCTTTTTTCAGCAATACTCAAGTATATACTGCCCAAGGTAAAATTATATTTTATTTTCAGAGACAAAATACAAAAGATATCCAATCTTTTAAATTTGCTGTCCAATTTTGTGATAATTTCTTTAGGAGCCAGGCAAAAATTGGTAATGAAGATAATTCACAATATGGATAAGATGCAATCCTAAATTGTGAACATCCAATTTTCTGCAGACTTCACAACATATATTTCTGTACTTTAGATGAAAATATATGCATTTAATACTTCACTGTAATTTCACAAAAGATATGTAATATGACTATTGAGAAAAAAATATGCTAGACAACTCTAAGAAACAAAGTTTGAAATCTGTCCTCATAAATTAAAAGTTTTAACCTCAAGTTGTCCATGTGTTAAAAAATGACCTTGTGCGTCTCCTAATTTAGTAAATCACGGCAAACAGCAATATGATAAAGGCAATAATGGCAACTGTTGACTAGAGCACCTTATGAATATAAAACTTAGAAATGGGATATGACATTCACTTCTTACATGCTCAGCATATTCAATGACTAAATTAGCTCTGAGTTGAGCGTTCCAAAGATTCACTACCTTCTAAGTAAATATAGTCCTCCTCATCTCAGTCCAAAATGGCTTCTCCATTATTCTGAGATGATGTCACCTTACTCCTCTTTCTCCTCCTTCCCCACGCCCCAAAAGAAAGAAAACATCTTTTCTGCATCCATCCTGTACATACTTTCATGTTTCAATGACATGACCTCATTTTTTTTTCTAAACTCCAAAGAATGCAGGCCCACTGTCAAAAGGACAGTCCTGTTAGCGCAGGAATGAGTCTGGTGAACCTCTGCTGCACTTTCTCAATAGCAAGTTTATTTTTCCTAAAGGAAGGGGAAACAATAATCCGGTATGGTCTCACCAAGGTTTGATGTGATTGAAGAAGACCATCTTTGTCTTGTACTCTCATCACCTTGTGATAAAGGCCAGCATATTATAACTTGTTTTACCTGCATTATTAGCCTTGTGTCTTACAAAATAATTATAAACCCAGCCCCTTAAGTGTCCCATGGCGCAGGGATGGTGTCCTTTTGTGTGGGCCAGCAGACCTAAGTTCAGGTCCCACCTGCTCCACAGGTATACCAAAATCTATCTGAACAAGTTAGTTAAAAAATATATACCCAGGCCTTTTATGGCCTTTGCTAATATCTCACTTTATAAGAAATATGAGAAACATAAGTCTGCACCCCTCTGATTTGATGAAGATCGCTGTTATAAATAAGAGAATAATACTGGTGAAAAACTGAAAGAAACAGGGTGCAGAAAAGTGTTATGCAAGCTGGCTGGTTATCATTATTAACAATGTCACGTGCCATGATGGGTCATGAAGGAAATCTTGCGAGTCAGTTCCAGTCATAACTTTTCACCAAAAAATTTGATCACATTTCACTTGATTTGGAGGTCTGCTCTCTAGCTTGAACTGGAGTGAAACATGCCATGGTTTGTCGAGAACTGTGACAATCTTAAATTATTGAGGTAATTTGGGAGCATCTGCTTCGTAAGTACCCATGTTAGAATTCCAAAAATGGAAATTCCATTCTTTCTAGTTGAGTAAACTTCCTATTTGCGTTTACAATGATTTCACTTTGATTTTCATTTACTTATTGTCACATGTACCTGAGTGCAGTGAAAAGCTTTGCTTATGAGCCGTACAGGCAGATCATAGTAAGCAAAGACATACTGATCATAGGGTGAAAAGAAAACTTAGACACAGGGATACAGGTTACGTTGCACAGGTCGTGCACCGGCAGGATCAACATCAGCATTATTTGAAGTTAGAGTCCTTTCATCAGCCTAGTAACAGCCCGGAAGAAGCTGTTCCTGAACCTGCTGTTGTGTGTTCAAGCTTCTGTATCTTCTGCCTAGCGGAAAAGGTAGTAGGACGGCATTACTGGGGTAGGATGGGTGTTTGATGATGTTGGCAGCCTTTCTGCAGCAACATGCCTAGTGCCAAAGTGGGGATCTGTAGGGGTGACCTGTACCTGGCTAAGTAAGGTGACTCGTACCTGAACACGCTAAGCGGCCCATGCCTGTTTACAAGATGGCAGACAGAAGCTAAGCAAAACCAACCAGCCTGCTCACACCGTGAAATACAATGTTACCTTTCAACAGAACTACTAGAAGGTCAGTAAAAGAACACTGTATGTTCCCATCCAGGACAGTTCTGATAAAAGGATGCCTTAGGTCAGATAAACGACCAATTCCAGCTTTATTAATGGATGGATGATTGTCCCAGTAAATGAATAACATCAGGTGCTAGACTAAGTCCGTAAGCAGCTAAGGATAACAGCTAAAGTTATTTCATAGTAAATTGTTACCTCTTTGAAGTTATCAGCAATATTAAATGGTTTCTAGCTAAAGATGCTGTAATCATAGCAGGTGGTTTCAATACATAACCAGAATATAATACAAGCCTTAAAAAATATTTAAGCTTAGATGTGAAGGTTAACTAGCCTTAGGAGATGCCTTCTCTTATGCCCTGAACAAGATAGATTGATCACAACCCATAAATTACAAAATGTTGACAGTAGAAGTAGTTGTATAATGTTACACTTATAATTAACTTTATAACAGAAGTTAACCTTCTAGGAATTAGATAAAACTGACTTTTTATTATTACATTATATAATTGGGACAGTGGGAAAACAAAAGGAGTAACTGAACGTGATAAAAGACAGCACCAAAATATAATGGGTAGTAGAACTGGAGCTGTCCTTACAGATAAGGAAGCCTGAGGAAGACCCGAAGGAGTATAGCCATTAAACTTGTGGAATGCGAATGAATAGGATGCATAGAAAGATCCCAAAGCCTAGCGATTACAATGTCTAACTAATACCATAAGATCATGGGAATCTGAAGATGTCTATAGGAGTGTCCATCATTGATTAGGTGTCCCACAGAATTGGGTGTTTGGATTAAGGGGAAGGACAGTGAATACATTGCGTTTAATTACTGTACCACAAAATGTATAAAAATGCTGTATTTCTTTGTAAGGCAGAGGGGTGAGTCATTGATCCAACATCTGAAGCCAGATTAGGGGTTGATCCTTTGGCGCTCTCCCTGCATAAACTGGTTTCTACTTGAATGAACATCTTCCACTTGCCTGCCTCCTGAGTCTTTGCCCCTGTTGGGAAAAATGCTCCCACAGCAAGGACGCGAATAGTGTACAAAGCACCTTACCAAAAAAAAAGTACAACATCTTGATGTACAAGTTTGGAAGTGTTTACCTGTGCCTCACTGAGACCAAGTTCTAACATTTCCAGAGACTTGCGGATCATGTTGGATTTCTCTTCAACCAGGTTCATCTCATCATCTTTTTTAAGACATTTCAGGGTTTCCAACAGGCTATGCAAAATAGAGTTGTGCTCATTTTTTAAGGCTTCAAGTCCTTGGATCACTTGTTTTGTCTTGCCAATAATCTCTTCCTGCGATAGCTTTTCAAGTTTATCTTCCTTTAAATACACCATCGTGGACATGGTGTCATACATTCTGAAAAAACAGATTAAGCAGAATAAACATGTTAAAATCGTCTGAGCAACTGAAATATTAACCTTGCAATCTGCAATGATAAATGTTAAGAATTTGACGAACAGTTGTTATATGCAAGTTTTATAACAGGGAGGAGACATTATTGGTTTCCTATAATTAATTCATAACAATTGTTGAAAATACCATGGAGGTCTCTCCTTATGTACAATCATTCCACCATTTAAAAAGAAATGTAAAGGATCATGGGATTGAAATAAACGTGAAGAGCGTACAGCATAAAATATCATTGGGAAGTCAAATTGCTTCATTGCTAGAGCAGAAAATATGGGACTTGCTTAAGCACAGCAGTATTCCAGTGGATTGATTGTATAACATGCATATCAGAATGTAGTAAACATTCGTTTGGAAACTGCTGCACTCTTGAAGAAAAACAAAAGGGATGAAGTGGACTACATTTTAAAAAAAATGGTGATTTTCACTGCTTTTCTTATAGTACGATCGGAACATATAGATACGATACAACACATATGAAATAGATGCATAACTATAATAAAAATAATTATCACCCAGACTACTGATTGAGCCGAATATTCAGGATTGGTTTCATTCATTTTCCTGAGGGAAGGTATCAACAAGTGTTCATTTGTAGAGATTATGGTTGAATAATTCAATCGCAAGACAAACCATAAATCATCACATTCTAAATCAGGATTCCAATCAATTCTCAATTCTCTAAAAACTGTACCTCAGATTAATTCACCAGGGTTAGCCCTTAACTTTTCAAAAACAGCATATTTCATCAGGCACAGTATCCTGGACACATAAGAAGTTGAAAGACTTGATGTGATTGCCAGTAATCACCAAGCTATCATCAAAAATATTGCAAGTAGTTTCACACATAATATAAATGGCAAATGCAAAGCATGATCAGAAAACAAAAGATCAAGTTAATAACCACTGGTGGGTTCTTCCATCATTACTTTAATGAGTGTTTAGCAAGGAGAGCAGTTTTTGCACTATCTAGGTGCGTGTCATCTATTTCACGATACAGTCATACACTTGTACACACGGAAGCAGATCCTTTGGTCCAACTCGCCCATGCTGATCAGATATCCTAAATTAATCTAGTCCCATTTGCCAGCATTTGGCCCATATTCTTCCTATTCATGCATACATCCAGATGCCTTTTAAATGTTGTAACTGTACCAGCCTCCACCACTTCCTCTGGCAGCTCATTCCATACACGCAACCTTTTCACTGTGTGAAAAAGTTGCCCCTTAGGTCCCTTCTAAATCTTCTCCCTCTCACCTTAAACCTTGCCGTCTAGTTTTGCACTCCCCTACCCTGGGAAAACGGCCTTGGCTATTCACCCTATCCATGCCTCTCATGATTTTATTAAAATAGCCATAGCCCATTCAGCCTCTCCCATAGCTCAAACCCTCCAATCCCGGCAACATCTTTGTCAATCTTTTCTGAACCCTTTCAAGTTTAACACCACCGTTCCTGTAGCAGGGAGACCAGAATTGAACACAGTATTCCAAAAGTGGCCTAACCAATGTCCTGTACAGCCACAACACAACCTCCCAACTCCTATACTCAATGCACTGACCAATGAAGGCGAGCATATCAAACACCTTCTTCACTACCCTGTCTACCTACAATTTCACTTTCAAAGGAGCTATGAACTTGTAATCCAAGATCTCTTTATTCGGCAACACTCCCCTGACTTGCTTTACCAAAATGCAACATCTCACATTTATCTAAATTAAACTCCATCTGCCACTCCTCAGTCCATCTGATCAAAGTCCTGTTGTCATCTGAGATAACCTTCTTCACTGTCCACTACACCATCAATTTTGGTGTCATCTGCAAACTTATTAACTGTGCCTTCTATATTCACACCCAAATTGTTTATATAAATGACAAAAAGCAGCGGACCAAGCATCGATCCTTGCAGGACACCACTGGTCACAGGCCTCTAGTCTGAAAAACACCACCCTCTGCCTCCTACTTTCAAGCCCATTTTGTATCCAAATGGCTAGCTCTCCCTGTATTACATGTTATCTAACCTTGCTAACCAGTCTACCATGCGGAACCTTGTTGAACGCCTTGCTGAAAATCCATATAGACTACATCCACCACTCTTCCTTCCACAATCTTCTTTGTCGCTTCTTCAAAAAACTCAATCAAGTTAGTGAGACATGATTTCCCAAGCACAAAGCCATGCTGACTACCCCTATTTAGTCCTTGCCTTTCCAAATACTTGTAAATCTTGTTCCTCAGAATCCCCTTCAACAAGTTATCCACCGCTGCTCATCAGGGTCTATAATTCCCTGGATTTTCCTTACCACCTTTCTTAAATAAAGGCACCAATTAACCACCCTTCAGTCTTTCGGCACTTCACCTGTGGTTATTGATAATATAAATATCTCAGCAAGAGGCCCAGCAATCACTCCTCTAGATTCCAATAAAGTTCTGGGCTATTTAGCCAAATCTTAATTTGAAATTCTGATTGCAAATATTACATATTATGTGACTGTTAGTGAAGGTACTGGCTTTGCAGCACAGGAAATTGCAAGAAATGCAGATGCTGGAGTCAGAGTCAATACAGTGCAGAGCTGGAGGAACACAGCAGATCAGGCAGCATTAGAGAAGCACAAAAGTCGACATTTCGGGCTTATACCCTTCATCAGGACTGGGGTGGCCTGAACATTGACTCTAAACAATGCGGCATCAGCCGGCTGTGTAGGCAGGTACTGAGAAAGGAGACATGGTTGTAGTAACGGGTTTGTTTCAGCACGCAGTCAAAGAGTTTCAGGGCGGAGATCACTAGTGGGTTACAATGGAACAGAGATCCACGGAGATCTTTTCGGACGGAGGAGGACAACTTCTTCAAGGTCGGCATCCTCGAAAGGGGCTTCGCAGTAGGGTTTTCAGCAACTAGG